GGCGTCGAGACCAAGATCTAGACCCCCTTGTCGAACAGCGAGAGGGAAGCTTTGGGGTCGATAGGCCCATGGGGCAGCTTTCAGCGAGGCCAAAGGAGATTCGGTAGAGGGTTCCCTTTGGGCTGGGGATATCGCCTGGGTTTATGTTTTTGTTTTTTTTTGCTGCGCCTGGTTGGTTCGAGGTATGAACTTATCAACTTTGAGCATTTGCCCTTGGAGAGCAACACGCCCTTGCTCATCTCGCAGGTTGAAGATCGACACGAGGCCGGCAAAAAAAGCATCCCAGTATGGTCGATGGTTCGTTTTTTGGGACGAGAGGGTGGGCCAAGCTCTCAAATTCCCACAAAAACAGCAACAACCACTCAATGTCCCACGCCCAAACCAACAATGTTCGGGGTCAAATGCCTTCTCACAGCCATAAATAAGCCACAAGCAGCATCTATTCCATTGCCTCCCGGTAGTGGTTTGAGGGTAGCGGACACCATCTTGGAGTGTTGCAACAATGATGGTTTATTGCTTCACTGTTGTTGGCAAGTTGTCAGGTTTGTTGGTTCTGTTTTTGAGTAGGGGGGGCTACAAGAAGAAACAGTTTTTTGTGTGACCTGTGGCCACACTTCAGTTCACGTACCAAACACAACATGTTGCGATGCTTTGAATCCGGGTGGAGCCAACCTGTGAGGCAAGTGCTTTGAAGGTGGTGCTGCTGAGTGTCTTTGGCCCCCAGCACCAGGTTGCATTTGTCCATGAGGCCGGCTCTTCAAATAGCAAGGTGGAGACTTGGTTGCTCATTGGCACCTTTGACATTTTCACCTCGGACAAATGACGATTTCACCACTGACCAGTCAAAAGCAAGTCGCTTTTTGCGGGTCTCTGCTTTGCGACCCCTTTTCTGGCCTTGCGCTGAGCCATCCATTCCATGCCGTTGGGACTATTTGCTCACTAAATCCAAGACACAACACAGGGTGTCTTTGGTGAAATCTGCAGATTTCCTCCCTGTTCAAAATGTGGTCCTAGCCAAAGGAGTGGCTTCCTCTGCAGCGCCTGGACTTAAGCGAGTCCATCGGCATCATGACCGCCTTGTACGTGCCAGCGGCGAGCGGGTCCTTCAGCCAGCTGAGGGATGAGATCGCGAGGCGCCGCGAGGATCTGAAAGAGGTGTGGGACGAGGCATCTCGTCTTGGAGGGTTCTTGTGACACAAGATGGCCTCTTTCTTTGTGGTTCATCCAGCTTTCGAACTTTGATTCCAATGTTGGAACCCCTTCAACAGTTGATCAATCACGTTGCTGGTGGTTTCCATTGAAACTGCCACTTTTTGGAGCCTCCGGGAATGGCGCGGAAACCCTATGTGGGGCGCCCTTTGGGGGGGGGGGGGGGGTCTCCCGGCCTTGAGGTATCCCACGCCCAGCTGGTCGGCAGCTTGGCTTCCGCCTCGCGCGCCTTGGAGAAGGCTGCAGAGGACTCGGAGCGGACAAGAAGGGATCAAGGGGTCCCTATGGGATTGTCTCAAAATAGGGGGATGCTAGACTAGGTCCCCCAGTTGTGCCCTTTTACTTCTTTTTTTTGGGAGGGTTCCCGGGTTCCCCTACTAAAATAGACTACAGAAAAAGGGTACCCTTATTCTAACCTCTCTACTGGAGGACCTAGTAGAAACTGGTGGGTTTCCTTTTGTTTCAATGGTTCTCTTTGTCAAAAGTTGTTACCACCAAAGGTCTGCAGGTTTTTGTCCATGTCTATATTTGCTAGGGTGTTGCTTTGGATAATACCTATTTTGGACCCACAGCCATGTTTCTCTTCCTTTCGGGCCCAAGGTAAATTCGTTGGTGATGTTTGGGGAAATATTGGGAACCCTGGGCCCAACATGAAACCCAGGTACATAGAATGGACTGAAATCTGCAGTCCCCTGCAAGAAGCCCAACACTTGATCCCAGACGGCGGGGAAATCCGGAGAAAGTGACCAAACCAAAAGGACCTCTCACACTGACCCGACCCCAAAAGGGGAGGCCTTTCCAAGGCAAACTTGATTAATTGTAGACATGGTATGTTGCTTTTTTGTCGGGGCTCTTCTGTTGTTTTAAAGGGAAACCAAAAGGAAACCCCTGCATGTTGGGGGGTCTCCAAGAAAAAAACACCCAGAGGTGTCCTTTGTTGGGGGTACCCTTGCATGGTTGTTTCACGGGGAACCAAAATGAATCCAATTTCTATGGGTCTCCTACTTGAAGACACCCATATCACTACAAATTTGGGGCCGCAGGGGTCAAGGGAAGCCAAAGAGATATCTAGCACACCATTTCCCAACCCCAAAAAACATTATCATCAAAAACCACAGACCTCGGTTGGTTGGTTCGTTGGTTGATTCGTTGGTTGGTTCGTTGGTTGGTTGGTGAGTTGGTTCGTTGGTTGCTTTGGTTCCCCCTTGGTATCCCCGGATCAGGCGAGTCGAGTCGAGTCGGGTCGAGTCGGGTGGAGTGGAGGACGATCCGCCGGAGGCAGAGGAGCTGCTGGAGTCGCTGGCGGGGCTCTTGGCGCACACGGCGGCGCACATGCAGCTGGCGGAGGTGGGGGGTTCGACAAAAACGCTTCCCGTGTCCGATTCGAGGGTGTTTTTTGCCCCCCTTTTTCAGGGTGGTTCCCAGCCGCACGGTTCAGCTGGGGTCTTTGGATCTTTTTGGTTTAGTGGTAGTTTCAAGTTTCTATTTAGCCCACTAAGTGTTAAACAGGGGGTCTGAGGACAGTATGGCCTTGGGGCCAAATGGGGTACGCCTGGAGTTTGGTAATTGCTCGAAGGGGTCAAATGGGCGATCCTGGGCCAAATTGGTTTTAGGGTTTCCCATATAATGCCAATTTGGAGGTTACCTTTCTTTTGAGTCCCCTAGGGGGACGTGCCTGGGACAAATTGGTTTCGACCCCTAAGGCAACCCAGAAGGATCAACAAAATGATTGAAACATGCGCGGTGCCGTCAAAAATACGGCTGTTGAGTTGAGTCTTCGGTTTTGCATTTACGTTGTGGAAACGCAGCATGGCAAACGATAGGGGGCTCGCAACCAGCGGTATGTCATGGAGGCATTTCTCTGGTTACCCGCGCGTGTTCTGATTGCCTGGTGGCCCTAATGGCAGTGGAGACATGGTTCCCAAAACCTGCGGTCTGCCCCTCCGATCATTTAGTTTTGAGCCACCGCCATTTGAACAACCACGTTGTTTGAGAACTGCAAGCGCTTCGCGTTGCCCGCCTCGGCCCAGCATCCAGCATCCAGCATGTGTGGCTCGAAAGCAAACAACAGAGCTGGTCAAGTGCCTTCCTCCTCTCTCTTTCTCCTTTTTCTTCCTCCTTTGCTTCCTCCCTTCCTCCCATCCCCGTTGCTCCCTTCCTCCCATCCCCGTTGCTCCCTTCCTTCCTCTGTTCAACGTTCGGTTCCTTCTTGGGTCCTTCCTTCTTTCCTTAAATCCTTCATTCTTTCCTGCCTTCTTCCCCTCCTCGCTTCCTCCATTCTTTCCTTCTGCCCTCCTTGCCTTTGTGTCTTCGGAAACCTTCGTTTCCCTCCTTCTTTCTTTTCCTCGTTTCTCTTCCTCCGTGCTCTGCCTCCCTTCCTCCTTTCCCCCCGTCCTCCCTTCCTCTTTTCCCCCTTTGCTCCCTTCCTCTCTTCGCCCTTGCTCCCTTCCTCCCTGCCTCTCTTCGTCCCTCCCGCCTTGTGTTTTTTCAATGCTCGTCAATTAAAAACCGCAAAGCACTGGAAGTGAATCGGGGACGAAAGGTTACAAGATGGCCATCTGGGGAAGGGAGGGAGGGAGGGAGGGAAGGGAGGATCATACGGGGGTGTTCTCAAGTAAAATGGTTGGTGTCCTTTCAATCTCCTATTACCCACCAAAACGGGTCCAGTGCCCTAAAATGATTGGTTTTTGGGTTGGTTTTCCTTTAAGCACCCACATGGGCCACTATCTTGAGATGTGTTGAGAAAGTCCCATACCATAACGAGTATCTGCAAAGATTAGTGGTTTACTGCTGGTTTCGGGCAATCCCAAATCTCCCGCAACAGTCAGGGGGGCAACCCCAATTCTGACATGTCCGCTTGGGGAACAAATCGTACTGCATGTAACTCATATCAAAGTGGTAGCAACGTGCGGGAATGATCTTGATTGTGTGGATGCCCAGCATCGCGAAATCATGTGTGCTATGGTCAAAAGACACCCTGTACTGCTGTACTGGGCACTGACAGGGATGGTCATCTACCTGGTAGTTGTGATCCTGAGAAACCATTCCTAGTAAGGACCATAGGCTATATACATGGGCATGCGCCTAAATAGGGCTCCCCAGAATGAGTAGTTTTCTTTTGGTTTCCCTTTAAGCCACCCCCGAAAATGGCACCCTAAAAAACACACACACACACCTAGGATTCCCACGGGTGAATGGCATGGCCCCTTGCCCTGGAGGATGACAACGACCTTCAGCCTGGACAGGTGCTGTCGCGTGCAGTGGACATTGCTCGGAAGCTAAAGCCGTCATGAGGACAAACCAAGCAGCCGCTCTTCCCGTCCCAGCGGTCTCGGACACGCGAGAAACTCGTTCTGCGCTTTTGGCTTGACATGGCAAGGAGATCCACTGGAGATTCGCCCAAGGGGCATCGACAGCTCACGTGCGCCCCCGAACTTGGCTGGAGTCGCTGGCCGACGTGCGAGAATCAGATCTTCGGGAGCATGGAACTGCAGCCAGGGCTTGGCTTCAACGAGAGCGGCTGAAGTTGAGCGATAGAAAACTCAGATGCTGAGCTGGGGGGAGGCTGACGGATCCACCGATACGTTACGCTTGGATCGCCTGATTTAATGGCTCCCTCCGCATAGATCCGTTCATTGTTTTCTCAATACCTCGATTGCTTGGACAACACTTGATGCTCCACCTGGATCTTGATAAACAAACCAGGAGTTAGGAGCCCATGGAAAACGCAACTTGCACCGGGAGTCATGTGCCGCTTGAGACTCGAAGCGGACACCGGTGCCATGCGGCAG